GGGGAATAGACAAGATGACTGTTCTGACTCAGCAGTTTAAGAAGCTTTCCTGGTGGTTTTGGCTGAACCCCATGTTTCTCCTGAGGGGAGAGTGCAACCAAGCTTGTAGGTAGGAGCGCTGGGGACTGGAAAGGCAGTTCGTCCTGCAGTGAGGAGCCCCAATCCTTCCCAAGGGGCTCTGCCTAATAGTGGGTGCAGTTCCTGCTCCTTCCAGGGGCAGAAGAAGGTCCTAAACTTGGCTCTTTTAAGAGCTGGGAACAGGGAAGTCCTCCAACAGGGTTTCAAACCTACAGAAGCTCCTTCAATGTCTCCCTTTTCTGCTTTGTGGCAAAAAATACATATAATATTATTGTGTGGTTGCAGTTGTTGTTAATTAATATCAATTAGCCTAGGTTAAGTACTTGGCTGCTAATCAGAAGGTCAGTGATTTGAACCCACCAGTCACTCCACAGCAGAAAGATGTGGCAGTCTGCTTCCCTGAGGATTACAGCCTTGGAGAGACCCAATGAGGACGTTCTCGTCTGTCTACAGTACTATAATGGGTCAGAATTGACTGGAGGGCCACAGATTTGGGCAAAGGGCAACCCCAATGAGGTCTGGACATCTCCCTTTTCCCAATGAAAACCTGGAGCAAGCAACTGGAAGTGAGTTCAGGCTTAAAGGACTCCTTGGGGATGTCACTTAGCTATGACACCATTTTAATTTCTAAGGGATTCTGATGGTTTCTGGAGTGAAACAGGCTGTATGAAATTCCAGTTGTCCTAGAAATTTGGAGTATATAATCAATGACCTCTAATGGGGGGAAAAAGGGTAAGTTTCTTAAAGGTCTGTACCCCAGAACTCACCCCATCGAATGAACCTACTGCTTATTCTAGAGTTTGTGAAAATAGAGGACTTCTCAAGGAAAGAATTCACCTCCCCTTTGGAAAAGAATGGAAATGACTAACGTCACAGAGAAAGCACAGCAAAATGTCTGAGAAAGGTCCCCTTGCTTCTGTTCTGACATTATTAGCTGCAAAAGGTGCTGGACCACCTGAGGGTTCATACTCTACGCAGCAGCCGCATCTCTAGCTGAAGAAGTCCACAACACACACTCTAAATGCCCTTCGCCACCGTCAAGAGAGCTCTGGATTTAACATTATTTCATTTTGCCCAAATTCCCCAGGGAAGCTGCCCTCACCAAACTATCAGATCATTAGCTTAATCATCCATCATATATACCCAGGTCTCTTTCATGAGGGCCTCCTGGGGAAATTTCCTTTAGATATCTATGTAAGGAAGACCTCTACTTCTTTTAATCATCTGGAATTCTTTTTGATTTTTGGAAAATATGAGCTCTTTCAAGGGACTGTTTCCCTTTTTGCATTAACTGTTAGGAAGCTCAGAGCCAAATTAAAATCCAACTTTACCAACTCTGAAGCCATAACAGTATACACTTATGCACAGAAATTTCCTCAGACTTCTCCCTACTCTACCTTAGTTTTTTTTTTTTACCCTAACTTACTTTTTTACATTGTCTCAAGGTTATGTATTCTTAACGTGGTACAAAAATCTCTTCTGGAAGAGGAAGGGGCATAAAAATCAACCAATTAATCAAAGGATCTGTTCTGGAAAGAAAGGAACAGTCTGCATATATCATTCACAAGAACCCTGTCATCTGTACCTCCAATATTCCCACACCAAAATCAAACCCACTGCCACAGAGTAAATTCCAACTCATCATGGCCCTATAGGACAGAGCATAACTCACGCATAAGGTTTTCAAAGCTGTGTCTCTTTTATGGAAGCAGACTGCTACATCTTTCTCCCACGGAGCAGCTGGTGGGTTCAAACCACCAACCTTTGGGTTAGTAGCCGAGTGCTTCAACCACTATGCCACCAGGGCTCCTCAAATCCCCACAATCATGGAATAAATACTAGTCCTATCGTTCTCTACAACATCTGGCCCCTCGAAACCCAATCCACAACATAATCTGCATCTCCAGAGGCCACCCATAATCTGAGGGATGTGTTCAGGGACGGTGAGATGGATGGTCTACTCTCCGTGCCCCACTTCATCAACAGCATCTCTCCCTCCATCCCACCATCCAGAGACCTTCCACCCTCTTGCTGAACTGCAGGAATCCCATGTCCCGCACAAACCAGGTTCCAGAGCTGCCCAGGTAGAAACAGTCACGCTGGAACAACTGTCAAGGCCCATCCCTAACCTGCCTTAGCCATTAGGCTAGGAAATACCCCAAGGACATAGAGCCCCACCTCACTCAAGGGTCTGGTTGAAAAGTTAGCACCTGCCAGAAGTTAGGCATAATCAAAACTGAAATGCGGTTATCACTTTCATTACCCATAAGAACATAACATTCTATGGCTCCAACCTCTAATTCATCCTCAGACAAAGCTTCTCTTGGGTCCTCAATTAATCAGTATCTTTCTTGGGCACACTGCAATCCCCTCACCACACACTTGCCTAGCCAACTGAAAAATGTGCTTACTGCTCTGTCAATGGGAAGGATACCCTTCAAATCACTCACACATTCTGAAGGGTTTGCCAACGTGCCTGAGCTGTGTTAGACTTGAGGGCAAGCACTGCTATGGGGAAATGCTGAGACCCACACCCCAGGTCTCAACCGGGGGAGATTTTGTCCCCGGGGGGCACCTGGCAATGTCAAGACATTACTGACTGTCACTACCGGGCAGGTGTTACTGGTATCTTGGGGGTAAGGCCAGAGATGCCTTTGCCTACTACTTCAAGGATGCTGAACTCATGAAGGTCTTCCATCTGAACACAGCAAAGTGAGCATTGTCAACTGTCTAAACATTGACAGCCACTTAGAGAATTATGTGAGCGTATTGGAAAAGAGGGTGCTTAGGTGAGGGGGAAAAAAAAAAGACTTGACCATTAGAAGCAATTAGCATTTTCTATAAGACTTAATTTCTGCATTTACAATCAATCACACTGGGTGGGTACTGAGCAGGTAAAAGGCTAGGTAAGGCCCAGGTTTAATGCCTGGTCCTGTTCAGGAACTAGCTAGTACGGCCTTAAACCAACTGCAGCTTTGCATGGGCTCTCTCAGTGGGGTTAGAGGATCCCATAACTTCCGATAATACAAACGCAAGGCGGCATTCTCAATCACATTAAGAAACCGGAAACTGATACGATAACTTACCATCCTGCTTGGGAGACGGTTCTTTGAGTTCCTTCTTATTTTTTCGACCCTCCCGCCCAGAATGGTCGTCTCCTAAATCTATGACAAGTTCACTCTCTGAATCGGAGTCCAGGCCCAAATGCACTGTCGGGGAATCCGTCTCATCTTTCCCCTTCAGTTTGTCCTTGGTGGGATGAGGTGAAGGTTTTGCTTTCTCTGGAAAATCCTTCTCGGGCTCCGGGCTCGTCTTTTCCTTGACTGCCCCCAGGTCCGCCTTGTCGCTGGCGGGCGAAGCGCTTTTCAGCTCCTCCTTCATCTCCACTGGGTTCGTCGGTTTGGGCTTTTTTTTGACAGCAGATGGCTCTTTGTCCATCCGACCACCCTCTTTGTCTTCGGTATCTTCCGGCTCGTCCTTGGGTTTCTGTTCATCGTCACTGATATACTCACTATCACTACTATCTGACTTCTCGGAATCCTCCGAATCGCTGCGCTCTACGGCTGTATAAACGTCTTCTGAGATTTCATTGATGCCTAAATTCAAAAAGAAAACCCAGCATGTGGCGTAGTCACAAAATAAAGAGCAGGACCAAAAACCCAAACATTTTCCACGCCAGACGTTGGAGTAGAAAAACATTTCACATCGTATCATACCAGCCTGGCAGGGTTAGCAGTGAACTGACGTCGCAACTGACTACAGCTGACAAAAGGAACTTGTGCTTGGAGAGGGTCTTGGTTATTAACATTCAAAGAAGATGTGGAAACCGACAACGTACAATTTTAACTTATGGAGCACCAAGTCTTTGTAACGTTGGTAATAATTGGGACATAGAGGATGGGAGGGCTGGGAGAGACCACCAGAGATGAGCTGTTAAAATCGACCCATTTTATAGATTAGCAAACAGAGACCCAGAGAAATCACTTGCCCTAAGACACAGAGAAAACCAAGACAGAGGCAAGAGCAGAATCCTGGGCTCCTGACCCACCACCTAGTCAGTGCTCCCCCCACTCACTCCCAAAGTAGTACAGTATTTGACTCATGCGTCTAGGGCTTCAAGAAATAAGGCAAAGCCTTAAAGTGAAGATTACAAACTCAATCCACATGCCACGTCTCGCCAGCAGGCATGTTTTATTTGGTTTGCCAAAGGAGTATTTTTTTGTTTTTTAATTCTGACTTTCACTCAAGCCTTGTTTTTGAATTCTGCACATTCACAAATCAGGACCCTTCACACAGATACCAAGATGGCAGGCTTCACTGGGAAGAACAAATGATGTGGCCACATGGGTAACATTCCTGCAAGGCAACAGATGGCTGGAGCCCAGAAGCCGCTGCCCCTGCAGGCAGGCACACATTCTGCAGGTGAGCCGGGGCCCAGCCCTCCCTCGGCTCCCTGCACCAACCACTGCGTCTGTATCGCTCTCCCACTTACAGGAGACTCAAGGGCCAAGTCTCTATCAAAAAGAGAAAACACCACAGGCAAGTGTTTCACACACGAAATCAGTAAAAAGCATATTTCTCACCACAGGTCCATTTAGCCATTTACAGTTCCTGTTTGCAGTAATGTGTTGAGTGTCACCAGGCTGTAGGAAGATAACACCATCTCCTAAAATTCTGAAAGCAGGAAAGTCCAATCTACCCTTTGTACAGTCTTCATTCTAAAGCAGTCGCCACCACATGGCTTGAAGAGTGGGGTCACTGTGCTGATCCACATACACTGAAGAGAAACTCACAAAAGCGAAAGACCCACGAAAGCCCAGGGGCACTGAGCCAAACTGCCAGGCAGTTGTATCTGCCGCCACCAGGGCTCAAAGGCATGGCAATCAAAATACAAAAATGTGATACCGTTTCTGGGTCCTAGGGCTTGTGCTACTCAGAGTTAATGGTCAGAGCCAAGAAAGACAAATATGACCACACAGGTGCTAGGGAAGGATGGAGCCTAAAGTATGGATTCAAATCCCAGCTCCTCGGCTTTTATCAGCTACGTGGCCCTAAGTGAGTGACCTCTCTGAGTCTCAGCCTCTTCATCTGCAAAGTAGGAGGGACAGGAAAATAAATGCACACTGCTTAGCATAGCGCAAGGTACACAGGAAGCCCTCAGAGCTAGCCACCTGCATGGAATGACCCACGAGGCATAGTGAAGCAACCTGCCAAATCTCACCCAAGCAACTCCATGTCCTCACCAAACAGGCCACCCAAGGAGGAATGGTCTCCTGTGCACAGCCCCGGACAGCCCCTAACACTTACAGACAGGCTAAGCGTCACCTTGGAGTGGCTCTCTCTCCTGAGGCCCAGCTCTCCCCGACATCTTAATAAATACTCTCTTCATTTGAACAAATACTCCAGAGCCTCTATTATGTACATAAGCACCTTGGAGAAGGCAAATCTTACAAGACAAAGTCCCTGCCCTCAAGGAGCTTCCAGTCTAGATTGGGACAGATACTTCCTCACTGATGCTTCCAAGCAATAAGTACCAAAGGAGGCGGGCAGGTGGGAAGAACAGTCAAGGGAGACTTCCTGGAGGAGGTGATACCTGAGCTCAGCCTGAAGGAGGAACAGGATTCAGGCAGGCAGTGTGAAGGCAGGCAGCACAGGGAAGAGGAAGGGATGCAATAGGTACAGATGCAGGAAAGGTGGCCAGGTGGGAAGTGGCCCAGTCTGGAGGGGACAGGGTTTTACGTTGGACACTTGTGGACATACATATGCAAACTGATGTTCAGACACTGATGAGCACCAAGAAGGCGAACACAGGCAAACTCGGGAGACTCACTGTGCTTCTCAGCCTTCTGACAACCTGCCCCTCTAATTCTCAGACTGCTTCCGCTAAAGAACAAATGCTGGTGAATTCAAAGGGCCTTTCTGAAAAATTAGCTAGCGAGCCTGAAATAGCTTGCCATAAGTGGGGATATGTTGTAGCTGAACAAACATGACAAGGTTAAAGCAGACGCTAAGAGCAGCCAGGACTCAACCCTTATCCCATCCGGGTGGTATCCTATGACGAACGATAATATTAAAAGCAGGCGAGGCAAATGACATACCTAATTGTGCTTTGCAGCTCTCTATGGTCTTGTCGAGGTTGAGCTGGAACCTGCTGCGGATCTGCCGCTTGGGGGAGATGAGTGGGACGGGGGTGGACTGCTGCTGGACCGACTCGCTCAGCTCCTTCAAATCCATCTCGGCTTTGCTGCGGTCTGGAAGACACCATGCCACCCTCGTAAGACCAGGCACTCGGGAGGTTAACAAACAACTCTCATGGCTCGGCCCGCTCTTCGCAAAGCCGCAGCCAAACACGGATTTCAGAAGCCAACGATTAAAAGAAAAAGTTTCTCGTCATTTCTCCCAACGGTACCATCTGTTCAAAGCGGGGTGCCCGAAAGATAATGGCCCACATAAACATTTGGCAGATTGACTCAGTCTACCCAACAATCATCTGCTTGGGTCTAGGTATTTAAAAGGTACAATCCCAGCTAGATGGCTCCGTGTATCGGTCAGCTTCGCCAGTGATCCTCGAAAGCTGAAAGTTACTGACATGTTCCATCTCACTATCAGCAGATAAAGTCACACGGAGCCAGGAAGTGCAGGCCCAGACAGAGAGGGCTTGTATCTGATAAGCAGGGATGTCCATTCCCCATTTACCCTGGAGGCTTCGTTTTTCATTCTTAATCTAGTCTTGGAGCTCAGACTAGAGAGGGGTAGGAAAACAGCAAGTAGGCAAACCTTCTAGGCAGCCTGCTACATTCCCTTTGGCAGACAGCTTTTATTTGAGGAAATATGAATAGATTAGCTCTGGATAACACAGTCACGTCATTCAAGTAAGAGTCAAAGCCCCTCACCATAATCCCCAAGCAAAGACCTCTGACTGATGAAGGAGCCCCAAGACCCCATCCCCACCATTCTGCTGAGGGTCTTTGTATAGCCAGTGGATCATATTCCAAAAGGTACAATGAGTTTTTATTTCTTGAATTCCTTTCCCATCTCCTCTAACACCCGATGCCATCAAGTCAATTCTGACTCACAGAAGCTTTACAGGGCAGGGTAGAAGTACCCATGGAGTAGTCAGGGGAATGGGTTGCCACGTCGTTCTCCTGTGGAGTGACTGGATGGCTTGAACCACCAATCTTTCAATTAGCAGCCAAGCTCTAAGTCCTGTGCCACCAAGGACTCTGCGTGCCTCTTGGAGTGCCCCTAAAATTAAGGTGGCTGCAAAGGCAGGTAGGAAGGACTATCTTTCACCTTGCCTGTGACAGGTGGCATCCCCTCCAAATGACTCAACGCAGAGAACAAGGGCTTCTGCCTTAACCAGAGGATACCAGAAAATAGGTCAAAAAGCACGTGACATCCAGACCAAAGGGCAAAGAGAAGCCACTTGTGGAGTTAAGGTTGTGTGTCCACTTGGCTGGGCCTAGTTGAGTGGCTGGGCAGCTGGTGGTAGTTATTCCCCATGATGAGACTGGCAGTCAGCTCCATGGTGGGACCTACCACAAACAGCTGAGTAGCTGCTTTGGGGATGTGGTCTGCTTCCTGTATATAAGCAGCAGCTTTGGGCGTGGTCTCTAACTTATGGCACTCTTGTAGCCCGCATGTAGCTGAGTCATTGTTCAGCTGCCTGCCTTGCTCTGCCGACCTTGGGACTTTCAATGGACTTGAATCAATGGCCTGCCATGTTATTTGGTAACATTGGGACTGTGCGTTTTTACTTGTCAACCCTGGGTTTGTCAGCCTCAGCAGCCAGCAGCTGTCTGAGTGAAGAAAAGCCTCCAGCTTCAGTGGGCCAGGAGCAGGAGGCAGAGCTGAAGCCTGAGACTGAGGGGCTTTCACCCAGCCCCTAGAGCCTGGCACTTTAAACTCGGACTTAAGCCTCCAAACTATAAGAGAATAAACTCCTGTTTGGGGTATATTCCTGTCAGAGTGGCACTAGGTAACCAAAACACCACTCTAAGCCTATTCCAATTAGCTGTGAAAAGGCCCCCAGCCTTCCTGTTCATTTCCTTGTGACCCCACCCCAAATTCTCATTTCCCTTTATTAGGCTGTTAAAGAAGCCACAGGACACAGCCCAACAGCTAGACTGGAAGAGCCATTCAAGCCTTCACTCTCTCATCTCCTTGTTTTATTTTGTTTTCCAACATAACCCCATACACCATCCAGTAAGGGTGCACTCTCTTACACATCCGCAGATCAGTTCCTTCAAAGTGACCAGAAACAGACCCCTAAAGCCCCAACAACCCAATCACAAGGGACCAGCACCAACAAAATTGCTCCAACTTGATTCTTTCACTCTAACAATATCCCCACCAAGATAATATTAGGAAGGACCCCTTCCCACAAGACACACTCAGCCATCAGGCCCCCAAGAAGACTCCAGAGTGCTCAGCGCAAGCAGACACACTCATCCTTGTAATTGAGGAAAATCTATCTGTGTGTTGTTGATCAGAGACTCTCCGCAGAGGTTGGACAGGACTGCACAAAGACGGCAGTGAATACCACACAGCCACCGCCTACAGAGAGAAGACTGACCATTCAAACTTGAAAGAACTAGAAAAATACTTATACCTGCCTCTGAATGCGAGTAACTTGAAGCGCACCTTATGAAGCGTGAAACAGTGATAAAATAGCAAGGGGAAAAGAAGAGAAAGGACTGAGACGCATAAAAAGAAAAGAGAAAGACCAGATTGAAAAGCAGTACAAAGAAATAGGGCTTAAAGACTTAAACAGTTAAGCTGCAAGTAAAACATCAAAAGGGGAAGGCTACAAGGCCTGTCTTTTAAGTTCTACTTTCTGAAATGAGAAAGCATCCCAGATTCCAGAAGGAAAAGGCAGCCTTTTCAAGCGTGAAATTGGAAAAGTGTCTCACAAAAACATTTTCTGTGAGGGAAGGCTGGCGAGTGTTCATCAACGTCCTCACTAACATATGGGTAACAGATTTCACAAAACCAGGGAAAAACTCAATCTACTAAGACCAGAGGTCGGCAAACGTTTTCTGTAAATGGCCTAAGAGTAAGTATCTTAGGCTTTGCAGGCCATTTGGGCTCTGCTTCCAAAGCACTCATAAAGGATATGTGAATAAATGGGTGTGGCGGTGTTCCAATAATACTTTATTTACATAAAAGGGTGAGGTGCCAGATTTGATCCATGGGCTACAGTTGACAACCCCTGTAACTAGTCCAGTGATTCCTGACCTGTACACTAAAATCATCTGTACCAAACCAAATTTGTTGCCCTCTAGTTGATTCCAACTCACAGAGACCCTACAGGACACAGCAGAACTGCCCCATAGGGTTTCTAAGGCTGTAATTTTTACGGAAGCAGACTATCATTATTATCTTTCTCTCACTAAGAAATGATGGATTCGAATTGTTGACCTTTCAGTTAGCAGCCAAACTGTTTAACCACTGTACCACCAGAGTACCTTGAAATCATCTGTACAGCTTTAAAAACATACTGATGTCTGGGCCCCGCCCCCAGGGAGTGAGTTAACTGGCCTAGGGAAAAGGCTTGGACATCAGGTCTTTTAGAAGTTCCCTCACCAAACTCAAACTCACTGCCATCAAGTTGATTCCAATTCATAATGGCCCCCTTTGGGTTTCTGAGACAGTAAATATTTATGAAAGTAGATTGCACCAGTCTTCCTTCCACAGAGTGGCTGGTGGGTTTGAACTGCCAATCATCTGGTTAGTAGTCACATGCCTTAGGCTCTACGCCACCAGAGCTCCCTAAAAGCTCCTAGGTGAACCTAATTGGTAGCTGAGGCTGAGCACTCCTATATCAAATCAATCTTCTATGTGAGTCAAGAATACTCCTCACCATTTCCCTAAACTCTTGCGTATCTATGTTAATAGCATGACTCTTCTAAACAAAGATAGACAGACATCTTACCAAAATAATCCAGTTACGTGCATGTATCTCTGTGTATGTCTAAAGTAAACACAGCCACTTAACTGCAGCCTGAAAAGCCTGCACCCCAAGAGGAATGGAAAGAAGGTAACGTATCTCATTTTACAAAATAAGATCGCTCTGGTCAATAAGGTAGGAGCTCTGGTGGCATAGTGCCTAAGGCATTTGACTGCTAACCAGAAGGCTGGTGGTTCAAACCCACAGGCCACTCTTCGGAAAGAAGACGGGGCAATCTACTTCCATAGTGATACTGCCTTGGAAACCCAAGGAGGGGTTGCCCTGAGTCGAAATTGACTCGATGGCAGTTGAGTTTGGTCTTTGGTTTTGGTCAGTAAGATCCCATTACGCTTATTCTAAGAAGAAAGCTACCAAAGGTGGTGGGCTGGGATCAGGTCCCTGGAGCAGACCTTTGGGATTTCGGCCAAACGCAATTATCGTCCCCGAACTTTCAGCTGCGTTTTGCCTCTTGGCTCCACCACAGGGAGGAAAGAAGGGCTTTCTGTTCTCAGCTCCCAGCAGCTTATCAGGACTTCTTCCACTCCTGCCCTTCTATGGCTGGAATATCTTTTAGAATCCACCCTTGCTGCCAACATATTGAACTTTTCAGCTGATACGAAGACGGCTTAAGCTATAAATGGAAACCCGGAAGGAAAATACACATGCTAGAGAAAGAAGTACAAGCTTACCCTGGAGCAAGCAGAACCGTCTCCTAGCAGGCAATTTGGCACTATCTCTGCAAATGTCAGCCGCCAGCGTCCCCTGGCCCACCAGCTCCACTTCAAGGAATTTATCCTATGGATACACTCCCACGTGTGCAAAATGGTCTGCCCCTGTACAAAGCAGCTTCATTGCAACTATGTTGCCAATAGCAAATAATGGGAAACAAACTAGAGACAATAAAAAAAAAATGAGGCACCGGGACAAGTTACAGCTCACCTTTAAATGGAATAAACTGCTGCCCCGAAAATAAAACAGAGATAGATCTCCGTGATAGCGGAAGTCAGCCTGTTCAATGAAAAATGAAACGATGATGGATGGAGCCCACTAACACTGGTGCGGGGAGAAAAGGACACAGAACACAGATGTATACATGTCCATCTCAGGAGTTTTTCAACATCGGCCCTACTGACATTTGGGACAGGATAACTCTCTGTCTAGGGGGCTGTCCTCGCACGGGAGGATGTCTCACGGCATCCCTGGTCTCCACCCACTAGATGCCAGCAGCAGCCACGTCCCAGTCATGATCGTAAAGCTGTCTGCAGATATTACCAAACTTCCCCCAGTGGGGAAAACGTCCTG